TCCGCCGCGCGGGTGCAACTGTCCCCCGAGTCCATGCCCAGGAGTGTCGCGGCTACGTTGGGAATTCAGTGCATCGTTCGCACAGCTACGGCTCAATGCCACCGGCTCTGCACACGGCGACCTTAAGGAAGCTCACAGTCCTGAACGTGGAGCTGTCCCTGTGCACCGTTTTCAGAAAAGCAGAAGTGAGGCTGGGGGGCTGTAAGTTGCCCAAGGACCCCCAGCTGCAGGGGCCGGCGGCAAACAGCAAGGCGCGGCCGGAGCTCACCGTTGACGCAGCCCAGCTCGTCGCTCAGGTCCTTGCAGTCGTACTCCCGGTCACACTGCCGGGCTGCCGTGGACTCAGGTCGCCCGTCCGAGCACTGGAATTCGTCCGGCGACAGTGGCCACGGCTGGAAGGACGGAGTGCGGTCATTTCTCAAGGGGACAGGCGGCCACAGAAAAAGACCTGGCCACTGGTGACTTCCCAACGGTGGGAACAGGAACGGGCTGCCCCGTGCCTCTGGGGACTGCCTAGTGGACCAGGGACATTTACAGACGACACGGTCCCCAGCCTCCGGGACAGCAAGAAGACAGGGGCTCACCCTCCGAGCCTGAGGAAGGCGTTGCTGCTTCTCGCGGGCAGGTAAAAAGCAAGAGTGGGGACGTCCTTCCCGCTTACGGCGACACTCCCACATACACCATTCTCTTTTTTTTTTGAGACAGAGTCTCGGCTTTGTTGCCAGGGCTAGAGTAGTGCGTGGCGTCAGCCTCGCTCACAGGCAACCTCAAACTCCTGGGCTCAAGCGAGTCGCGTCCTGCCGTCAGCCTCGCCGAGTAGCTGGGACTACAGGCAGCGCCACCATGCTGCCGGCTAATTTTTTATACATGGTATTATGATTAGTTGGGGCCCAAGTTAAGATTTCTTTCCATTTATAGTAGAGACGGGGTCTCGCTCTTGCTCAGGCTGGTTTCGAACTCCTGACCTCGAGCGATCCTCCCGCCTCGGCCTCCCAGAGTGCTGGGACCACAGACATGCGCCACCATGCCCTGCTAATTTTTCCTATTTTTAGTAAAGACGGGGTCTCGGTCTTGCTCAGGCTGGTCTCAAACTCCTGAGCTCAAGTGCCACACTTGAGCGGTCTGGTGGCCACGTGAGCCAGTGGCTCGTGTCCTGCACAGTGGCAGCCGAGGGCCGTGTCCCCTTCTGCAGAAAGTTCTATTGGGTGGCTCCGGACTCTAACCGGAGCCTGCGAAGGCCAGTGCCGTTGCTTCATTCTGCGGCGGGGAGACCTGGGCACAGCGCCAGCTGCCATGGACGCACGCGTGGGGTCACGTCCCCGGCCAAGGGTCATGCCGCTTGCACGTCACCAGGCAGGCCCGGGCCCTTTCTGGGCCAGTAATACTGTAGAGGTTGTCCAGGCGAGGTGGCTGATGCCTGTAGTCCCAGCCACTTGGGAAGCCGAAGTGGGAGGATCGTTGGAGGATTGTTTCATTGTAGGATTTAGAGGCCAGGCTGGGCAACACAGCAAGACCCCAGCCTCCAGAAACGAAACAAAACAAAATACTGCAGCTCATGGCTCCTCTGCATTATCTAAAAGGGACTAACTGGGCATTAAAATGTGCTTTGGGGACTTGCATTCCCCTCCATGTGATGATAAAGACTGCAACAAGCACGACACGGGACCAACTTTCTGGGATTTGACATTGTTTAACCGTCTACAGGGGCCGCGGGACCCACACCCGGGGAGTCTGGGGAGGGACTAGGGGCCCCAGCCGCTGCCGTACCGCAGCCCTCCTCGTCGGACTTGTCCCTGCAGTCGGGGCCGCCGTCGCAGCGCCAGCTGCCGTGCACGCACTCGCCGCTGCGGCAGTGGAACTCGTGGGCGGAGCAGGGGCCGCGGTCGCCTTGCGGGGCGAGCGTGTCGCGGCCCCCGCAGCGCTGCGGCCACTCGTCGGAGCCGTCCCTGCAGTCGGGGTCGCCGTCGCAGGCCCACAGCCCGGGCACGCAGGCCGAGTCATTGCATTGGAAGTCGGCGGGGCCGCAGGTGGCCGCCGGGCACGAGGCCTCGTCTGAGCCGTCGGGGCAGTCGCGGTCCGAGTCGCAGACGAACTGCCGGGCGACGCACTTGCCGTCGTGGCAGCGGAACTCGTCCTGGGAGCACGTCTTGGGGGCTGTGGGGACAGAGTCGGGGAAGGGACCGCGCTGTCACCTTGGGTCCCCTCCTGGCCACGGACACCAGCCCATTCCACACGCAGGGGAGCGGCGCCCAGAGGGTCCCCCCAGCGCAGCAGATAGACGCCCGCAGGCCCGCGCCACCACCGCCCTCTGCACCCAGGCCCTGCGGGCATTGTCGCGGGCCGAGCCATCCCCTCCCACGTGCGGACCCGCAGCGCTCAAGATTTGGGAATATTTGCATTATCCTCGCTGGTGGAACATGCGAGATCCGGGTGCTCCGGCGGGAAGTTGACTTTGAGCCTCACGTTGGTGAGGCTCCTGTGACCACCCCCCACCTCGGCTCCTGTGACCACCCCCCACCTCGGCTCCTGTGACCACCCCCCACCTTGGCTCCTGTGACCATCCCCCACCTCCGCTCCTGTGACCACCCCCCACCCCCACTCCTGTCATGAGCCACACGGGTCCGGCCCCCCACGGGCGAGCGGCGGCCCCGGCGACACTCACGGCAGCCTTGCTCGTCCGAGCCGTTCTCGCAGTCCACCTGGCCGTCGCACCTCCAGAGCTGGGGGACGCAGCGGTTGACGCGGCCGCCGCAGCTGAAGTCCGTGGATCTGCAGGTGACCGACACTGCGGGACAGACAGGAGGGACAGTCGGTCTCCCCGTCCCATCGTCGCCAAGGAAAACCCCACAACACGTAGGAGAGCCTGAACCCCACCCTTTAAAACAGACAATTAAGCATTTTATGCATTTTTTTAGGTGGTGAACGTCACCTCAATTGAAAAAAAAGAAAAGAGAGCCATTTAATGGCTTCAAGGGAAATTCCAATACCGTCTCCTGTCCCCACGTCCCGATCCACGCAGCCACCGCCATCACACCGGGTTAGGATTAAAATAATGACAATAAAAGGGCCAGGAGGCCTCTGCCCAGAGCGGACTCACTGCAGGTCTCCCGGAGCTCGTCCGAGCCATCGGGACACTCGGCGCTGCCGTCGCAAACCCACTTGTAGGAGATGCACTTCCCGTCCCCACACCGGAACTCGTTCCTCTCACACGTGCTTTCCACTAAGAAAACGGAAAAAGGGAAGGGGACGCCTCAGTGGCAGGATCGGACACTGTCCACGCGCCGTGTCGCCCCCCTGCCCACTGAAGAATGGACTGGAAACGTGATTCCATCAGGAACAGCCGGAATCCCAGGAAATGAAACACCCGCGACAAATGAATATTCGGGAACCCTAAAGTGCAGTGGGGCGTGCAAAGAGTAAACCCCGAAAGAGGGAATTAGCAACCCAGACTTCGCCGTGATGCTGTTGGTTTCAAAGTGTTGGCCCCACTGGGGAACAAAATATTAGAACTTCGGTGCATGAGAGCAGACAAATGAGAAGTACTCGGCGTATTAAAAAACCTGCATTGCAAACAGTCAGGAGGAAAATTGACACAGCAAGATCATTAAGGTGGAAGAAAACTTGAAGAGTTTTCTCCAGTAGGTAGAAAGGAAATATAAAGAGATAAAGAATTATAAGAAATGATATAGAAGCTAGGGAACAGAGATCCAGCAGTGAAGGTAATTGTGTATCTGAATATATCAGATGAAAAGAAATGGGACAGAAACATTAACAAAAGATATAATAAAAGAAAACTTTTTTTTTTGGAAAACCAAGGCTTTGGTTTTTTGGTTAAAATTGGGACCGGATTTAGTTTTTTGGAAATTTTCTTAAATTTTTTGTTTTTCCCTTTTTGGAAAGGGGTTAAAAAATGCTGTTGACTGTACTGCATTTTAAATAATTTTGTTTGGTTTTGGACAGGGGTTTGCTATATTGCCAGGGCTAGGGTGCAGTGGCATCAGCCTAGCTCACGGCAACCTCAAACTCCTGGGCTCAAGCGATCCTCCTGCCTCAGCCTCCCGAGTAGCTCGGACTACAGGTCTCCCCAGCACAACCGGCTAATTTTTCTACTTTTTGTAAGGATAGGGTCTCACTCTTGCTCAGGCTGGTCTTGAACTCCTGGCCACAAGCAATTCTCCCACCTCAGCCTCCCAGAGTGGTAGGCTCATAGCCATGAGCTACTGTGCTGGGCCAAGATTGTCTGCTTATTTATTTGCTTATTCTGCACATACGTATGTACGTGTCTGTGCATGTTTTTATGCTTCGGACACTGTGCTTAAGAGTATCCACATATTTTCTCTGACCTTTCAAATATGCATGGCCAGAGGGAGCCCTTGGACTTGACATTTCTGCTACAAGGATCCAAGGGCAAAAGGTCTGGTCCTTCACCCTTTTCTACTCTGACGGATCACAAAGCATGTTTGTGTAGACGCCCTGAGCGGCAAGGTGGAAAGGGGCTTAGACAGAGAGTCCTGGCTCCCGATGGCTTTCCACGCCATTTGACTAGAACGACATGGGCAACTGACTTATTCCTTCTGGAACCCATTTTTCTGATTTGTAAACTGAGGCAGAATAGCAGTCTCTTCTTCCTAGAGAGTGTCGTGAGAATTAAAGAACAGCCCAGGTGGGGCGCAGTGGCTCACGCCTGTAATCCCAGCACTCTGGGAGGCCGAGGCGGGCGGATCGCTCGAGGTCAGGAGTTCGAAACCAGCCTGAGCAAGAGCGAGACCCCATCTCTACTATAAATAGAAAGAAGTTAATTGGCCAACTAAAAATATATAGAAAAAATTAGCCGGGCATGGTGGCGCATGCCTATAGTCCCAGCCACTCGGGAGGCTGAGGCAGGAGGATTGCTTGAACCCAGGAGTTTGAGGTTGCTGTGAGCTAGGCTGACGGCCATGGCACTCCACTCTAGCCTGGGCGACAAAGTGAGACTCTGTCTCAAAAAAAATAATAATAATAAATAAAAAAAAAAATTAAGAACAGCCCAGACCTTGACGTAATAAATATCAGTTGCAGGTGGGCACACGGTGACACCCACTGCATGGAAGACTCTGAGGCAATGAGAAGGGACAAGCAGTTCATGTACATTGGCACAGACAAATCTCTGAAACTCGTTGTTTCTGGCTTCTATTGCCACATATAGAACATTTTGTGCATACGATGGTGGCATTCACGTGCAGTACTAGTACAGGCAAAACTAATGTAAAATGACAGAAATCAGACTAGCGGTTGACCCTGGTGTATGTGTGTGGGGGTGTGTGATTAAACAGGAAAGGGGCACAAAAGGACTAGGTGGTTAGAACAGTTCTATACCCTTTTTTGTTTTGTTTTGTCTCTGTCGCCTGGGTTACAAGAGCAGTAGCTCACTGTAACCTCGAACTCTTGGGCTCAAGTGATCTTCCCGCCTCAGCCTCCCAATTACAAGCAGGTGTGGGCCACCACACCCAGCCAATTTTTAAAATAAAATTTTGTTGGAGAGATGGGGTCTCGCTGTGTTGCCCCGGCTGGTGTCAGACTCCTGGCCTCTAGAGAGCCTCCCACTTCTTTTTTTTTTAAATTGGGATGTGACTGACATACTATAAGGGAACAGATATAAAGTGCACAGTTAGGTAAGTTTTGGCAAATGTCTACACCCATGTAACTACCCCTCGTTGGGATATAGAATAGGGTAGGGGTGGAGCAGGGTGGCTCTCACCTGTAACCTGAGCACTTTGGGAGGCTGAGGTTGGAGGATCGCTTAAGGTCAGGAGTTCAAGACCACCCTGAGCAAGAGTGAGACCCTGTCTCTACAAAAATTAGAAAAATTAGCCGGGCGTGGTGGCGCTACACCTGGAGTCCCAGCTACTTGGGAGGCTCAGGCACGAGGATCACTTGAGCCCAGGAATTTGAGCTATAATCCTACCACTGCACCTGGGAGACGAATTGAGACTCCATCTCTAAAAAATAAATAAATGGAAAAAAAAGAAAAGGTTTAGTTTAGGTCCAAGTTCAAGTCCAATGCCCTGGCCAGAGGGCAGGAGCCAGCTAGGAAAGGCATGGGGGGGAGGGGCAAACAAGGATGGAGATGGGAAAGATGGAGAAATACAGAGAAGATTTAGAACAATCCACAGGGTGGTAACTGTGAATTACAAGGAGGCCACCCACGTCCCAGAGGTGGCCACACAGTCGGGAACCCAGGTGACAAGGAGAATAATGGGTCAAAAATAGAAAGGGAAGAGAGAAGAGACTGACTCGAGCTTTGGGTCGTGCTGTGGTCACAGCCCCTGGTGATTCTGTCGCCCGGCTAGATCTGCGCAGGGTGTCGCCCTGACAATGTCCCCTGCACCCCGCTGACTCATCGCTGAATTGGGATCTTGCTCAGAGGAGGAAATGACTCACTTCTCGCTGCTGACACAGGGGGTGGGTACAAAGCAATTGGGATTCCAGGCGACTCAGGATAAATAAAAGGGAATCCAGGCAAGGGGTGGTGCTGGCAATAAACGTCTCGAGGGAGGGGCTTCTATCACCCCACTGGGTGACCACAATTTTGGTGACCACTAATCCATTGCTCTCGTCTCCCAACCTCTGTTTGCTCAAGGGCCTGTCCTACCCACAGAATCCGCCGCTGGGGAGTCTAGATGTGTCAATAACGGCTGAGGACCCTTTCTCTAGGCAGGTCGCAGAGGTGCCAACGCCGGTAGCAACTGTTTGTCCCTTCTTATTGCTGCGCGGTGTTCCACTGGATGGATATGTCACCCGTGTGTCTGTTTGTAAGCTGATGTTTGTTTATTATGTGAGGATCCATCCGGGCGGGGCCCCCCCTTTCCCGGTTCTGTTCTTACAATTCTCACAACACTCCCCAGGAAGTGGAGAATGCTATTTTGCTCCATTTTACAGATCAAGAAACTGAGGCCTAGAAGGATTAAGTGAGCTCCTCCCAAGTCCTTCTAGTTAAATGACTTGGAGAGCCACTTAAAGCCACCTGTGTACACTGCCTCTCAGGCAATCTATAGAAATGTGTTCAAGACCACACCACCAGGAAGACCCGCCCATTACCTATTTCTGTTAGAACAGGCGACCTCACAGGTGACCAACCCTCAAGACAATGTTTAAAAAGTAGATTTTACTGCTACAAGCGTAGCCAGACAGCATTCGCCTGCATAATAAGCCCCCGCAGCTGGGCAAGCAGGGACAAAGTGTGACAAGTGACAGCACTTGTCCCCAGAGCTGTGGGTCCCCCACAGCACAACCTGAGCAAGGGCTCAGAACTAGTCCTCTTCTTGCAAACACCACGGCCCAAAGAAACCACACGTTTTTCTTATTCTTTCCAGCAAGGCTTGGGTTTTTCACATTAGATCATTTGCATTTCAGCCAAAGCAAATCAGAGCAGGGACCCTCACGTCCCCTCGTGCTGCTGCTGCCTAAAATGACATACGCATTGCGCCCCTCTCAAAACAACAACAACAACAACAACAAAAAAAAAAAAACCCTCTATCAACTCCAAGCCCTCCGATCTCTCGTGCCACGAGTGACAAGTCAGGAACAAGGTCACCGAAACAGAAAGGGGGAACACACATTTCTGCTTTTTCCCCAACACACACACCAGGTGTGGATGCTTTCGATGTTTTCTTTCCCATGCTACTGAAGACAGTTGGTACATCGGGAAATCAACATTGTGGCTAGAATCATTTCCTTAAAAAAAAAAAAAAAAGAAAAAAACAAGAAAATCCCCTAGCCGGAGGAAATAGACCCAGCTGAAAATGAATTAGAAATCAATGGCTCATTGCTCCTATCGAAACTGGGCTTGTGGTCTCCGCCGGGTGAGCTCAGTGGTAGATTGCGTTGCCTTGCTCCTTTGGGAGTGGCAGCAAGATGCCGCTGCCGCTGGTTAGTTATTAATATTAATACTTCTGCAGTCTCTTAGCAACAAAAGGCCATTTCCTTGACAGTGGGGCCGAGTGTAGATGCTATTAATGCACTCGATGTGGACTGCAAAGGGGACGTCAAAGCACAGAGGCAGAGAAACATCTAGAATTGGACCCTAGCAAGGGAAGAATTCTACAGACAAGAGCAGGAATGAAGAACACAACTTTACGGGTCTTTGGTCTCAACAAAGCTCTTGCTATCTTTTTTTTTTCCCCCCCGCCAGTGTCCCTTGGAAGAAAGGCATGTCAGCAAATGACAAATGAATCCCCTGGGACTTGTTGCTAAAGCAGATACAACTCCCAAGGTTTTCTAGAGTGACATGTTTGACAATCCACATACCACTGTTTACTGATTTTTATCTGGCTGGGGGTGAAGAAGGCGTGTGCAGTTTCGGATTGCGAGTAGGACTTCCTAGAGGAAACGGACAAGAAATCCCCCAGGACAAATGCCCTCAAGCCAGCTCCAAAGCAAGCTGGTGCAGCTAGAGCTGCTATAAACATCCATCAAGAAGCTCTCAGAAGTCTAGGGAAGACGTCAGGGCTCCTAGTATCTTTGAGAGCAGAAGAAAACATCGGCTTCCCAGCCATTCAGTGAAAAGAAACTCAACTAGCAAGGTCTTGCTCAAGACTTCACTTGCAACACCTTCTCTTAGGAATGGAGTTGATGAGCGAGTGAGATACGAGTGAATGTAGTGCCTCTGGAGCAAGCCCTGCTCCCTGGGCTTTCGACAACTGGGTGACCGCATTATTGCAATAACAGCATTATTGCAATAACAATCGTGCTATTTCTCTCTGCACCCTCCCTTCCTGGCCTCCCAGAGGAAACTGACATGTTACAGATTCCATGAGAGTTCAAAGTTCTCCCTCCACTCAAGGCCAATCTCCTGCCAATAAATAAATTAAAAAACAAGAACTTCCTGCAATTCTGTGCATTAGGCAATCCCAACCCTTTTAAGGGCTGAGCTGGTTCTCAGGACCAAAGGGGCCTTATAGCTCTTGTCCAGGGCAGGGCTGGCTGCCACTCCCCGGCTAATTTAAAGCCATCTAAGGAGGCAGTAACTCAGGATCATGCACCAACTGGGCTCTTGTAGACATCGAAATCCGAACCCACCTCCCCAAAAAACGAAAACTAGCCACGTGGGCAGCGCAACCCAACCCATTGAGGGTCTTTGAACAGACAAGGCCACCCGAGGGCCCGTCCCTCCCGGGGTCGCTGTCTTGGGGTCCCTGCCCCGCCCTGGCTGAGGGTCTCGACCCAGGAGGAGTCAGGAGAGAAGCCAAAGCGACGTTTCGGGCCCGGGCGGCACCGAGGCCTGGAGGACGGCCTGGACACGTCGGTGACCCTGACCGTGAACTTGACCCGAGCGGGCTGCGCGGGGCCGGCCCCACGACCGGGGCAGGTGGGGGGCGGAAACCCGGGCCTTTGCCGAGGGGACCCGGTGGGCGCCTCGTCTACGCTCCTGAAAGCTGGCGCAGGGTCCCGGCCGTGTGGCCGGCTTTGTGACAGGAACCCCCGGCGGGAACCAGAGCTCCCAGGCGGCCGCCCAGCCCAGCTCGCAGAGTGCCGGGACTTCCGCGCAGGCCCCGCCCCTCCCGCCCCAGGCCCCGCCCCCTCGACCCAGGCCCCGCCCCTCCCGGCGCGCGCCTCCGCTTCCGCCGCCTGCCATTGGACGAGGGGAGTGGCCCGAGGCTCGCCTGTTCGTACCGCGCCCAATGGCAGCAGGAGGGGCGTGGCCGCGGGGCGTGGCCTGGCGGGAGGAGGCGGCCCGGGGCACGGCGCCCGCCCTGCACACGCCGCGCCGGCCGGGGGACCCCGGGAGGCGCGCGGAGTCGGTGGGGCCGCCGCGGTAGCCCCGGGCCGTGGGGACCCGCCCCCCAAGCTGGAAGCCGGGCCTCGAGTCGCTCCAGCCTGTAGGATGAGATTTAGCGGGGGGGGGGTCCCCTCTTTTTAGGACTGGAGGTCTCGGCCCGGTGCCCCGCTCTGAGCAAAAAAGAAGGGGGTCCCTTAACCTGCGGGGCTTGAGGGGACAGCCGCGCCCCGTCTCCTGCGCCTGCCAACCCTCACGCCCCCTCGTGCCCCTTTTCCTACAAGCCTCCCAAGGATGGAGCGGTTAATTTTCCCCGTTCCCCCCACCCCGCAATCTAAGTTCCCAGGGGGGCGCGCGCCGGGCGCCTGGAGCAAGCCTTACCTGCAGCCCCCGCCGCGGCGAGGAGCAGGGCGACGGTGCAGCGCAGCATCCAGCCGCCGAACCCCATGGTGGCAGCCTCCGCCCGCAACGTCCTGAGCCACACACACCACGTCCCCTGGGCGTCCGAGCTGGAAACTCGGGCTTCCCGCGACTGCACGGGGGCCCTGGTCATTCGCAGCCTTTCAGAGCGAGGTTCTCAGCGAGGGGAGGAGTCTGCAGTGGGGTGATTTTCAAAAGTCTTCGCCTCACTGGGCGAGGAGGAGTTTGGAACGGCTGATGTGACATCTGGATTTTAACCCGTGGAGTCCTGGCGGGGGTGGCAGGCGGGGCTGGGTTTGTCGTGCCCGGGGCTGGGAGCTCGCCTCCCCCCCAAGACTGGAAATGGTGTCCTGGGAGACCCCTGTGACACTTTCTCAGCTTTTAACTTCTACGTTCCTCTTTGGTTCCCGAAGGATTCCAACCGTCCCTTCACATCGCCTGGTGACAATCTCCTTTCCGCCTCAAAAGACAAAAAATAGAAATATTGGAAACTTCCTCCTCCACTCCCCCTTCTAGATCGCCTTACTCCTTTCTAGGAATCGTGTACGTATATAGATTTTTAGCTTCGTTTTTTTGTTGTATGTTGTTTTTATTTCTTTTCTTTCTAACAGGATTTTGCATGTTGATTTTTATTTCTTTTTTATTATTATTATTATTATTATTTTTTAGGTATATTGTTTTCAGATGGTTATTGCAAATTGCCTTATCAACAGTGATCAATGAGGAATTTAAATAAAATTGTCACGGAAACCACAGCCATAAGAAATTCATTTTGTGTTGTGGGATCCAGCACTTGGATGAATTATAAAGCAAAAACATCTCAAAAATCAATTGACCCGATGCCTATTGGGTCGTATATATTGACTTATTCTTTTTAGGGACAGTTGAACAAACAGAACAGAAGGGTGGGTGGCTTTCTCTCGCCTAAGCAAAAATCGAAACAAAACAGGACTTTTCGCAGTTGAACTTGGATGTCTAAACCACAGAGAGCTGGTGGAGATCAACTTTCAGAATCAAGGAGTCTTCTTTTGGGGTTCGTGGGGTGGCCACAGGCCCCTTGCTCAAAAGGCACGTGTGAGGAACCTGCCCGAACCCAACAAAAGATCTGGCAGCCTTAGAGGGTTCCCCCAGAAATGAGCTGGAGTCCTCTGGGGTTCTGCAGACGGAATTGGGCGGGGACTGCAAATGTCTCAGCAGATCTTATAGGGAGACCCAGGAGAAAAGGGCAGAAAAGGTTCAGTGTCAAGAGCAAATATAAAAATAAATAGAAATAAAAATAAACCAGAATCCCTGAGTTTGATTTGGCCTTAGAAAAATTACAGGACATGAAAATGTCAGTTTGTATTGTGTGACCAGCTCTCTTCTTATGCCCGGTCTAACACTTGCTCCCTAACGGGCTAGAAAGAGTTAGCAGGAGGGGACTCTCTTCCCACAGGGACTTGGTTTAAATTGTCCCCAGAGCTGCCCTGGCAAAAAGCCACAAAGCTCTGAAAATGCATTCCAGCTGAGACCTGGCAGAGTTCCAGACAGCGTTCCCCAAGCCTGGACCTTCCGTGAAATCTCAGGCCTCCCCTCTCCTACCACGCATGGCCAAGGTCACCCATGCCCTGAGGACAGAGTCACAGTGTTGAAGTTTTCTACCTCTATTTCTTGGAGCTTTTATTTTTCTCCTGTGACAGCTCATAAGGTTCTCCTGAAGTTAATAGTTAATATTATATAAAATTAGCGCCTGGGTATGGTGGCTCAAGCCTGGTAATCCAGCACTCTGGGAGGCTGAGGCTAGGAGGTTATTGCTTGAGGTCAGGAGTTCGAGACCAGCCTGAGCAAGAGTGAGATCCCCTCTCTACTAAAAATAGAAAAATTAGCCGGCTTGTGGCACCCTGCCAGTAGTCCCAGCTACTTGGAGGCTGAGCAGGAGGATGGCTTGAGCCCAGGAGTTTGAGGTTGCTGTGAGCTAGGATCAGGCCACTGGACTCTAGCTGGGCTACAGAGTGAGACTGATTCAGACAAACAGAAAGAAAAAAAAAATGATTAGAGTCACACTTGGTGCATAATAAATACCATATATGGTATATTTGTCTTTGGCTGCTTTTGTGTTACAATTGCATCATGGCTTTTTAAAATCCCTCTAGGGAAGACCTGTCTATTCCTGCCTTCCTCCTGGTAGGCTCTCAGTAAATAATCCTCCCGGAGTGGGATCACTTTGTTGGAAAGTTCCTGAGCTCTCAAAATTACCTTATACAACGCACGGTAGCCTTTCTTTTCCTTTTTTTTTTTCTTTTTTTTTTTTAGAGACAGGCTCACTCTGTCATCCTAGCTAGAGTGCAGTGGCATCATCATAGCTCACTGCAGCCTCCAACTCCTGGGCTCAAGCGATCCTCCTGCCTCGGCCTCCCGAGTAGCTGGGACGGACTACAGGCGTGGGGTGCTGCACCCGGCTAGTTTTTCTTCCTTATTCTAATGGACAGCAGGCCCGTCTACCTTCTCCTGGTTTCCACCTCTCTAATACACCAGGAGGCTCAGAGCAGAATAGGTCTCCACCCAAATGAGCCTGGCCTTTCGGCAGAGGTGAGTCAACCCAGCTGTGGGCTGGCCTTTCACCCGGCAGTCAGCAGAGAAAGGGTGAGGAACCACAGAGGCCTCGTGCCTTCCACTGGGTACCATTAAGAAGCTGCCTAGGGCCGGGCACGGTGGCTCATGCCTGTAATCCTAGCACTCTGGGAGGCCGAGGCAGGAGGATCGCTCGAGGTCAAGAGTTCGAAACCAGCCTGAGCGAGACCCCGTCTCTACTAAAAATATAAAGAAATTAATTGACTAACTAAAAATATATACAAAAAATTAGCCGGGCATGGTGGCACATGCCTGTAGTCCCAGCTACTCTGGAGGCTGAATCCTAGCACTCTGGGAGGTCGAGGCAGGCGGATTGCTCGAGGTCAGGAGTTCGAAACCAGCCTGAGCAACAGCAAGACCCCGTCTCTACTATAAATAGAAAGAAATTAATTGGCCAACTAATATATATAGAAAAAGTTAGCCGGGCATGGTGGCGCATGCCTGTAGTCCCAGCCACTCGGGAGGCTGAGGCAGGAGGATCGCTTGAGCCCAGGAGTTTGAGGTTGCTGTGAGCGAGGCTGAGACTCTGCCTCAAAAAAAAAAAGAACCTGCCTCGGCTCTGTGGTTATTAATATTCTCCACAAAAATGCAGACACCACGGCTTGTATCTCCAGTACCTACTAAATAAAGCAGAGCAGGCGGAAGGGTGAAGTTCATGGGTAAGAGGCGGCCGGGCGCGGTGGCTCTCGCCTGTAACCCCAGCACACTGGGAGGCCGAGGCGGGCGGGAGGGGAATGGTCAGATGCGATTTCTAGTCTGGCTGACACTCCATGGGGCTTCCAAGGTCAAGGTAAGGCTTCCGCTGACCAGGAGTGTCTAGCCTTGGTCTACGGAGGCCCGAGCTGCGGGCCCGGGCACGGCGGGGCCAGGCTTCGGCCCCCAGCGGCGGGCACACGGGCTGGGGACAGACGCTCCGCTAGCTGGCATCTGCGTGGCTGGAAGAACCAAGGCTGCGAGGACGACGTCAGCGGGAGGGAAGACGGTGACAGTCCAGGACTCCAGCCCAGTGAAGACTTGCCATCAACTCTCCAAGTCGCAAGAGGTTACGACCTTGGGACTCGTGCAGCCCTGGGTCGCGGGCTGGTTCGGGCCGGTCCGCCTCCTGTGACGTTAGACTCCTTCGCAAGGATGTCATCGTCACGTATGCCCAGTGTCATTAAGCAGCGAAAGCAGCCAGTCACAAAATGGCAAGCACTGCGCGAATCTACTTACTCAAGGTCCCTGGAGCTGAATGTCACATCCTGTCACATTCGTAGAGACAGAAAGTGGAATGGTGGACGGGCGCCAGGGGACGGGGAGTTCGTGTTTAAAGGGGACAGAGTTTCAGTCTGGGAAGATGAGAAAGTTCTGGAGACGGAGGGTGGGGACGGTTGCACAGCACAGCGAGTGAGCTCGAGCACTGAGCGGTAAGTGATACATTTTTGTGTGTATTTCATTAGGAAGGAAACTGAAAAAATAAGGAATGAGGAGGAAGCAAGGAGGTGAGGAGGAGGAGAGGAGGGAGGGGAGGAAGGAAGGAAGGAAGGAAGAAAGAAGGAGGAAGGAAGAGGAAGGATAGTGAGGAAAGAAGGAAGATGGAATGGTAGAGCCACCCCCCCCAGCCCTGCCGACTGCCCGGTTCCTGTCCAGGAAGGCCCCGGGGCCAATTCAGCACCAGCACACCGTGCTGCCTGACTTACCTTGTTTCCAGTGTGTTATCGAGAGAAAATCCTTGTGTGTTGTTCCTGCTTGTCGTCCTTCGGCCCACAGGGCTGGTGCAGACTGAGGGCATCTGAGCTCTTGATTGACTGGACTCGTGGTTCAGGTTGGTGGAAGAGACATCACCTCTGTCCTCAGGTGCTCTGGACACCGGTTAGGTGCTGCAATTAGAGCGTTGCTTTTTCTCTCTTTCTTCTTCTTCTATTATTTGGACAGAGTCTCACTCTGTTGCCGGCTAGAGTGCCATGGGCTCAGCCTAGCTCACAGAAACCTCCAATCCTGGGCTCAGCGGATCCTCCTGCTCAGCTCCGAGTAGCTGGGAATACAGGCATGCGCCACATGCCCGGCTTAATTTTTTCTGTATAACTTTAAGTTGTAAGATTTTTTTTTCTTTTTTTTTAGTAAGGACAGGTCATTGCTCTTTGCTCAGGCTGGTCTCGAATCTGAGCTCAGACGATCCGCAGCATCCAAAGTGTTAGTTACGGCGTGAGCATGGCCCGGCCTTTATTTTTGATTTTATATTTTTTGGCCCAGATGTGTGAATCTTGAGGATTAACTTTTTTTCAAGGGATTGCCATACTGTCTTCCATAGTGGCTGGACTTCACGTAGCACACCTTGTTGTTAGTTACTTTGTTTTATTTTGAATGCGGCCTCTAATTGAGCGGTGAGGAGTATTCACTGTGGTTTATCCAGTTTGGGCTCAGACTAGCGTGATTTTCCCTCAAAGCTCTGTTCACCACTTCTTTTTTTTTTTAAATCGATTTTTTAACTTGTAGAGACCAGTCATCTTGCGCTGTTCTCGATCCCTTGACTAAGCTCAGCCTCCAGGTGCAGGGAATACAGGCGTGGCCACCTGGCCGCGCACCACCCACTTCTTATTATGTATTTTTGGTTTGATCAGTGTGGACCACGGCTCCCACTTAGGCCAAAAACCAGAGACTTCTCCCAGGAATCCCTTGCACCAGACAACA